AATCTTTGCCCCATCTCTGGTTATTTCACATTAAGTAGGTTCCTAGAAGCAGAATTAGTGGAACAGAGAGTTTGACATTTTTAAGACCTTAAGTATATAACACTGAATCGAATTCCAGAAAGTTTATTTCAGTGTAAATCCCAACTCCAATATGGAGTGCTTAGTTTCAAAATCAGTGAGCCTGTGATGGCATTCACAGTTCAATCTTAACTTGTGGTACCTATTCCTTAGGGAAACACAGTGGCGGCCCATTCTGTTTTCCCGATTCCCTATTTACCTCCTACAACCTCACAAAAATAAAACAGCAGCAAGGAAGACCAGCATGGGGAAGGAAGGAGGGCTAAGATAGCTCCAACAGTATTTCTGATAAATTTTATCAACATGTATTGTCCTCTTGGGCCTCATCGTTGCCTCCAAAGGCAATTTTGGATTGAGTCTGAGGCCTCAGGTTGGGGTGTCAACTCCTGCATCCTCTCCAGCTGCAACACTTCTCTCCCTAAGGAGGCTTCAACCATGCCCCAGTGATAGACACCCACAAGCTCTTGTTCACTTGTCTAAAGTCAGTGAGGCAGGGCGGTTTCCTCATCAGACTTTATTCTTCCCCAGGATAAAAAGGCCTGACTCCAAGGTCGGAAAGGGAGGGTCCTTCCAGCATTTCAACTTGTCCTGGAGTTACTCTCAATTAACCACCAACTCCTTCCCATCACCTCTGAAACGCCTTCAGTGACTTTTGTGGCAAGACAGAAATGTACCTGCGTGACTCCCTCTTTTCTCTCTCCCACCGGAGAAGTCAGGAGGCACTATTCTACTCTCCACCTTATTCTCTTTTTTCAGCTTCTCATCCCCCAAAGGTCACCTTCCACCGCCCTCCCACTCCTATTCCATCCCTCCACACACCCACTAACACCCTATCCAGGTGTTAGGACACTGTCTTCTCACCACGGTCACTTTTGTCATCATCTTCAATAATTCTAGGGTCAGGGTAACAAAAAAAGCTCCCTTCCAAGATAACACATTAGATATGACTTGAAATAAAGCAATTTGTATGCGGTTCCTTCTCATTCAAAATGTCAACCTCATGAAATGGGAAAGTCCATAGCATTCTAAGCTTATGGAGCTATGCTGGTGTAGCCTGTCTATAAAATTTCTTTAGCTCCTACAAAAACCTGACATTGACAAGCTCACTAAGAACAAATAAATTGGAAGGTCACCTTCCCTTTGATCACAGTAGGTGTGCAAGCACCAAATGCTGTTACACAGTTAGCAACAGATTGCTAAATATGCCTGAAAATTATACAGCAAATAGTTAACTCTCAAAGGTATACATTTGATGAAAACTGGACAGGATTTTTATCACCAAAAATCTTAAATTAAGATAGTTTGTTGAACTAAATTGGTTTTGCCCTTGAGATAAAAATGCTTAAAATCCATCATCAGAAAGCACCAGACAGCCTTCTGTTTCTCATAAAAATGGAGACTACAGGGGCCAGCTTGCTGGCATAGCGGTTAACTTCACAGGCTCTGCTTCAGTGGCCCAGGGTTCACTGGTCAGATCCCAGGCACAGACCAACACACAGCTCATCAAGCCATGCTGTGGCAGCATCCCATATACAAAATAGAGGAAGCCTGGCACAGATGTTAGCTCAGCAACAATCTTTCTCAAGCAAAAAGAGGAAGATTGGCAAAAGATGTTAGCTCAGGGCCAATCTTCCTCATCAAAAAAATAAAAATAAAAATATGGAGACTACAAGGCATGCACATTTTTTGTTTGACTCTCGTACTTTCCTGCTTATTGAAGCTGAACGCTAAACTGAGAAAAGGGCATATAAGCCCAAACAGAAACAAACAGAAAACAAACCCATAACTCTTTATGGCCTTCCCAGACAGAGAGACGTACCATAAGATAAAGTCCTTCTTGTCTCTTCAGAATGAAAAATTCAAAGTATCACAACCATAACACTAATACCATTTTTGTATGACAAGCCAGGTCAACATGGGCAGAGCCAAGAAGAGTGACCAGATTCCGTATTCCAAGCATCATCTACAGTGTGGATAACAGGTTCCATCCGCTTGTTTCCTGCATAGTGTGGCCTCTGAGCCAATAAAAAATAAAAAGATTTGGCCCTAGGAGGAGCTCCTCCATTCAGTGGCTCTCCACCTTTGCTCTGGCCCACACACCTGAGAGACAGGGACCCAGGACATCCTGGTGAATATCAGAGGCTTACCAAGGGGGTGGGGGATCTTAGGATGAGAGGGGCAAGAAGGGGAAGGGGCTCTCAAATCTGAAGGTCCCTGTGTGGTTTCCAAAAGCCCCCCAAACCCCAGGCAATTTTGATGCACACATAGGTCCCATCCCCCAAAGATGACAGAACATCGCAGCCCCATTTTACAGATGTAAAAACTAAAGTCCAGAAAGAGGAAGTGATGGAAGAGTTAACAGAAGACTGACCGTCAACTCCAGGCCTCTGGACTCCTGAGTTCATGCACTTTCCACTACACAGAGCCATGTACACAGCTGGTGGTCAAGAAATATTTAATAAATAAATGAAATAAGGGCACAATGTTTGTGTTTGTTTAACAAAATAATTGCTTGGGTTACTACAATGATTCATACCCTGGGGTTCCTGGATCCCCAGTAGAAATCGGGTGAGGGGGAAAATCATTTTAAAGGGATCTTTGAAGGTAAAAAGCTGGCGACCATGGGCCTGCTGCCTGCATCCCTGCCCCCCAGGGAGGCCTGGGCAAGGTCCTGGGGGCAGGGTCCTGGGGGCAGGGTACAGCTCAGCATCAGGGCCTGTAGTCTTGATTTACTGCCTGTATATTTCCCGTGGTATCTTATATAAAATAGCAGCTTCAGGTTAACTCTGGACCCTATAGATAGTTTATCATTCTTTGTTGAAACAGCAAGATTTTATCAAACCTCCTCACTCCTGTTCCCACCAGCCACCCACATCACGAGCGCCACTCCTCAGCCCTGGGCAGACATTACACACCAAACATTGATCACATTAGGCCAAAAGGAGGGCACAAATGAGCAAACAGGGCAGAGAGCCCTGACCTGTTACCCCAGGATGGGAAGGAACACAGTGTCCCATACAGACGAAAAGAAGAACTGACTTTATGATTAACAATAACTGATATTTCACAGCAATTTATATTATTTTATATACTACTTTATGTATTTTTGTGTTATATATTGTAAGTATATATTATTATATTTATTTTCACATATGTTGTCACTTACTATTTTCACATATAAAGTGTTCAGCACACAAGAAGCATTCAGTAAATGCAAGTTAACTGAATCCTTTTAAAGATGTTACAAGAAGATAGCAAAATCAGTTAAGGGCCTACTTGCAATAACACATAATGAATTAGAGAGTCTGCGGCAATGATGAAGAAAGCCAGACTAAAGCACATCGAGCTCAGGAAGATTTTTTTCTGATACAAAGAAGGAAAAGATACCAGTCCAATCACTGTTATTTTCATATCATTTGGTATCCATGGATACCATCTAATTTTTCTTCTGACAGCAAAAAAAAATTCACTGACAATATAATATTTCATTGTTAAATACTTTGATGCTTTACATAAAATAGTTATTCTGTGTTTAATTCCTTAGCATTATCTATATACTCTTAGAAGGAGTAAAATCCCTTCTTGCTGAAAATTCTATGCGAGAAAGTCAGTGTTTAATCCACAGTCATGCCTCCCTGGCTTTTTTAAATTAATAATAATCCCATAGAATCCTGAAAGTTAAGGCCTCACATATTTGTAGATTGCTGTAACTTATGCAACCGTCTTTCATAAACAGTATCTCATTTGTTCCTAAAAGCAACCCTAACGGATACACAGTTAAGTATCATTATCACCTTCCATAGAACTAACCCCACCAGGGAATTACTCTATTTATCTTTCAGTTGTGGACTGTCAGCTCACCAACCCCAAGGCACCATCTCCCCAGAGGGTAGAGAAATTGTCTTCCTGTTTCCAGCTGAACCCTCAGAGCCTAGCACTGTGTCTGGGGCATAATGAATGTTCTAGGCATATTTATGAGATGAATAAATAAAGCCCCTTCTCGGCCTCAAGCCCGTTTTGGTATAAAGCACACACCGGAACCATGTCCCAGATACCCCATTTAGAGTTCACTGGTCTGTTCTCTATCAAAAGGAAACTGTGTAAAAATGTTCTAAAAACAAGAGCTTATACTCAATGAGACTAAAAATAAAAGTACACTGTTCTTGGAAACATGGGAAAATCGATGTACATCAAATGTAAAACACTCAAAGTTTCAAATTTTTCACTAAATCAAAACATCTTGAACTACCCTTAGTATATTGAATTTGTACCTAATAAAGAACTTCAGAAAGCAGAGGCAGAGAAAAGTGGGGCCATCGTTGAGAGAGCTGTCAGTACTTTAGGACAATCATTTGCCATAACTTGCTTCCAATTTAACTAGAAACCCTTACTTTTGATTATGATGTCATTTTTACAGGTAAGTCTGAAATACATGGAATTATCTCTAACTTTTGAAGGTCAACAGAAAAAAAGACAACTCACTGAGAATGAAATATGTAAATGTTTAATATTAAGAAGCAGCTACAAATCATAACAGACAAGAACTCTTGGATCTAGAGGCCAAAATCTAACTTCTTACATAACAGGCTGAGTTATAAATTATAATCATTCACTAATTACAGTGAAATTCCGGACTTTGCCACATCAATCAATAGATGTTCCAAGATTACCCCTTAAAATTACCAGGTTAAGTCCCAAATATTCCATCTGCGGAAGTTCCTTTTAAAAAGACAAGTTTTTCTAGGAGTTTTTAGGTTTCTATTTTCACCCTTTCCTCCTCCAAAAAAAGAATGATTGGGGGGAGAGGAGAGGTTTGAGAAAATGAGAGACTCTTCGATCTGCGTGCGTGATGAAGTTAACCAGGGATCACCATCCGGGTCGTGGTAAGGGAGCGCGCATCTGTCTAACATCAGGACACCCACCTTTCATACTCTGTCACCAGGCCCCTGTCTGCACCTGTCCTCAGGCACCGAAAAGTGCAGGCTGCTAAGTCCCAATGTTATTTGCAGGCAATCTGAAAACTAATAAAAGACTGCAGGCTCGACAGCAACCTTGGTGATTCCTGACAATCCACAACAGGAAATGTAACTATCCTCCACCCTCCCTAGCCATTCATCAAAAGCAGACCGAGTCACAGCAACAGGGACGCCAGAAGCAGGAGGCAAATGCCAGCGCTTTTCCTCCTTTAGAAAGACTCTGCATTTTCTTATTCGGTAACCAAGATCGAGGAGCACTACCCACTGCTCACACTGGAGGGAGGGGGCTGAAGAGGGAGGGAGCGGGTAAAGTGTCCCCAAGTCCCAAAGACTATACTATGGGGTTAAAGACGAGTGAAGGCCCCGGTGCTAATGTGTGACAATTAGCCAGTCCCAGGGGTCACATTTACAGCTGATGACCAAGGGTCCTACCTACACCGACTGACCCGGGCGGCCCCCTGGTGCCCGGAACACTGTCCTTGCGCCCGGCTGGGGCTGCCACCCTCCTTCCCTTCTTCCCCTCTAACGCGCCAAGGGGGTGAGCGCAGCAAACGCACCCACACCTGGGGCCTCAGAGAGACGCCGGTGCGTCCTGGGGAGGAGGATGGGGCATCCTGGAGCCCTCCGAACTTGGAGAGGCGCCCGAGCCCCCGCGGGGGCCGGCCCCCAGGCCGGAGCGCCGAAAGTGGCCGCAGGCGGGCGGGCGCCACGACTGGCCGCGGCGGGCAGCGCTCGGGGGGCGAGCCCGGCCGGCAGGGCGGAGAGGAAGTGGCGGCCGCGGCTTTGCACCAACCATGTTCGGCCGGCGGGCAAATGCCACTCGGCGCCCAGAACGGGGTCGCAGGGCGCGGGGCAGGCGCTCACGTCCCCACCCTGCGGCAGCCCGCGCCCCCAGACCCCAGGGGACACGCGCCCACGCCTGCCAGCGGGGCGCCGCTCGGTCCCCGGAGGCTCCCCGCCCCCACCTCGCCCGCTCCGCAGCCGAGGCGGGTCAGGCCCAGCGCGCCAGGCCGGCCCGGGGGCGCCCGCGGGGACCCGGAGGCGCCCGGCGCTAGGCCGCGGCCGGGGCAGATGACCCCTCGGCGCGCCGCCCTCCCGGGGCGCGCCGCCCGAGCCCCCCGCGCGCCGGGACAAGTGCAGTGACAAAGCCCCTAGGGCCAGGCCGGGCGCTGGCCGGCGGGAAGGAGGACGCGGCGTCCCTCCGGAGCGGCGGCGGCGACGGCGGCGGCCCAGCCCCCAGGAAGCCGGGCGCGCCGGCCAGGCCCTGCGCCCAGCCCAGCTCGGAGCCCGCCCGCCGGCTCCCGCCGCTGACACCCGACGCCCGCGACCCTCGCCGACCCCAGGGGCGGGCGAGCTCTGGGACCGCCGCGGGGCGCCCCATCAAGTTTCCTGTCGCCGCGGCGGGAGGCGCCTCGCCGGGCCGGGGCGCGGGCGCAGACAGCCCGGCGGACAGCGGGATCCTGCTTATTTACGCTGGAGGCTGCCTGGAGAGAGGCGCCGCCGCCGGGCACCGAGAAGGACCCGCTCCCCTCCTTCGGATCCGGTGGCGACGGCATCTGTAAACACACACGCACATACATGTCCACGACAATTTTGTTTTAAAAGGAGGCCCGGCTCCAGCGGACGCGCACCCCCACACACGACACCTGGGGCGCAGAACCACACAGAGCAGGTCTGTGTCCATGGAGCCACCTCTCCTCATCTGCAAATCCAAAAGTGAAATTAAACCTCCACCGACCTCCTCCTCCTCCTCCTCCTCCTCCCTCTCTACCTCCTCCTCCTCCTTGCAGCCTCAGCAGCCCCAGTAGCAGCAGAAACAGCAGCAGAACCTGCTTCCCCTAAAATCAGATGATCCATAACAGCGCCGACTGTTCCTCCAAAAATCGGTATTAATATTTATGAACCTCAGCATTTTCCGTCTGCAAAACATCGTGTCAAACCATCAGGACACGCACGCACACAGATCCCCTCCGGTCCTCATAAACATGCCCTCGAGAAAAACACAACGCACAGTCACAACTATTATTTGAAAAATGTTACCTCTCAGTGTGCTTTTTCACGCTACCAATACAATTCCGCAAGGTTTAAATGTTGCTAGGGTGTATGAAATGGAAATGAAAGCCCGTCAGATGAATAATCGCAGGAGCAAAACTAAAAGTTACTCCCCGGCTTGCCTGAGAACAGTCCAGATCGAAAGCAAAACAAGGAGAGGAAACTGCGAAGAGCCGAGGCTGGAAATCCCCCCACCCCCCGCCCTCCTCCTGCCTCCCTCCCTCCCTCGCTCCCCCTCCGCCCTCCTCCCTCCGCCCTTCCTCCCCAGTGTTTGTTTCAGGCTTGTGCAACCGGGAGTCGGAGGCGGAGGGAGGGCGCGAGCGGCCGGGCCGGGAGGTGCGGAAGTTCGCCGCCGCTGTTCATTGGCAGGCAGCGCCGCTTTCATCATTTCTCGGAAAAGTCAATTTCATTTTCACTTCCCCACGTCGCGGCAGCGGGAGCAACAAGCGGCTGCTCGTGAGTCTGTTTCTCGCACACTGGGGCGCCCACCCTCGCCGCGCGAGCACTTGGGGGGCCGGGGGGGTTCTGGGGGTTGACCCGGAGCAAGCTTGCGTTCAGGGCAGAAGCTAATGGCTGTCGGGGAGGAAAGGGGGTACCTGACTCTCCATCGTAAGGGTTACCTGGAGGTTGGGAGGGAGGGAGAGAGCGGGCGTCCCGGGAAGCAGACGGCCTCCCGCCATTCTCTTTGGTAGGGCAGATGTTTAGAACCGCTGTCTTCAAAGTGAATAAAAAGTCACTTTGTAACACTGCCCACCTCAAAGAAGCATAAGGAGTAATTAACTGACAAGACAGCGTTACTTAGATAGTTATGCAAGAACTGGGCCACGGGACTTGCACCCTTAACCTCATTTGAACCCTTATCAGTGGCTCAGGATGTAACCATGTGACGGCTGCTGCCATCTCTGCCACCACCTGGCGCTCTGTTCGGGGGCTAGCTTCGAGATAAGGAAGGCCTTGCTCTAGTAAATCAACAACAGCACGCTCCAGTGCACCAAAGTTACCTTGCTGCAGGACCAGGCGGGCAAGGATATGGGCTCATTTGACTTACAGACGTCTTGGTCGTGGCTGGCCCAGGAGAGAGGCTTTGTCCTATAGGACTTGCAGCCAGGTCCCAATTTGGTCTCCTTAACTTCCAAGCTGGGCCTTCTTGGTCAAGTTGCTTCACCCAAGGCCTCAGTTTTCAATTCTCTGAAATGGACTAAATGAGAATGCAAGAGGTATGGCACCTGTCACCTTCAAGCTCAACCTAATACAATTCACTTGGGACCTGCTGCTTTTTGGTCCCTTGCTTTAAAAGTATAGATTCCCCTTTAATTATATCTGTTTCTTCCCCTACACGCAGTTTGATCAGCCTCCTCCCAAACTTCTCTACTCAACAGGAAAAGTCCCTTCCTGGGAGGCCATAGCTAGTTAGATGTAAAAACTTTTCTATCAACTTTAACACCCCTCTCTGCCACATGAGTGCTGAATTCTAGGGACTGGAAAAAGAAAAGTATCCAAATATACACGTGTCCTGAAAAAGGGGTGAAGGTTTAGTATTCTGTTTCGTGGCTGTGGTCTGAGAAATAGATCTCACATACACACATTATTTCTTACCCCCTCTCATACAATACTGCCACAGCCACTCACTTTCTTATTTCCTATAGCAGTGACCACTATAAGCAATTAGAGTCACTATATACAAACTCTGTAGGATCGTTGTCACTCTTTACCCACCCATGGACCCAAGTTAAAAACCCAATAGGCCTTTATGTCTTCTTTCCATACTTCCAATCAGTAGTATCCTATTGGCCTGTTGATGCCAATCCCGGATCCCTCTGGACCTGGCCCCTTCTGCATCCCCACTCCATTGCCTTCATTCGGTTATTGCAGTGGCCTCGTCACTGTGCTCTGTCTTCTCCTAACTCAGACTCCCCCAAGCTCGCAGCCACACTACTGTCCAAATTAAGTAGAAAATTAACTTCAGGTCAAGCAAAATTCCAATCCTAATTCCACTCTTCAAAAACCTCTCTGCAGTCTTAAGAATAAAGTCCCTATTATTTGACGAGACATATAAAGTCCATTGTAATCTGGCGACAAACTACTTTTCCAGCCTCATCTCCTGCTACTGTGCCCAGCAAGCTGTACACCTCTCCCTTGTCAAACCAGCTGCCATTCCTCTTTGTAAAACAACAGAGCCTTCCTCTGGCTTATTATTTTATCCTTAGCATGTTGCCCGGCACATAGGGACTCAAATACTTGTGGATTAATAATTACTTGCTCTCTGTTCTCATAAAATATTTTAAACTTTATCAGAGTATTTTATTTTTTAATATAAATGTAGTCAATACGTATTGTACAGAAGGCAGAAAACACAGAAAAGTTGAAAGAAGAAAATAAGCCACTTGAAATCCCACCAGTCAGTAATGGACCTCTTGATATTTTTATCTATTTCCTTCTAGTGATTTTTCTAAAAGGCCATTTCCAGTCCTCATCTGCTCAGTCTCTCGTATCATTTCATGATGCCCATCGTGCTCCCCGTTTCCATGATGCCTATGTGACACCGCTCTGTCCTTTTCTCTTTCTTGGCTGGCTCCTCTTCTGCTGCCAGCCCCCTGTTTCCAGACATTCTATCCTCGACCTTCCTGTTTTCTCATTCTTCATGCTGTCTCTTTGACAAAGTGCTCTAACCCACACCCAAAGCTTCAGATATCCCTGTTTGGTAAGAACTCCAGGATTTGCCATTTCTGAGCTCTGGGTGCTTTACCTCCTAAAGGTTCCTTGGGTGCAACAAATTAAACATATCTAAAACTAAGCTCATAACATCTTTCCCTACAACCTTGTATTGGTCATTTCATTAACTAGCCAGGAAACTGGGAGGCATCATGGACGCCTGCCATTCCTGAGCCCCTGGAGTTCCCTGGGGCATGAGTATTGTTTCCAGTGTTCTGGGCCCCTACACTCATAAAGCATAGAATGAATTTCACTCTGTTCTCATGCCCCTGGTGACATGTCGCTGCAGAACAAAAATATAAATACGACCCCCAAATCCACGTGGTATTGATATACACAGTCAAGATATATTTCTTAGCCCTTTGATGAGATGCTTCTAGTGGAAAATGGATCAATATAACAAAATATAACCTCTTTGAAAGTCTCTAGAAAAAAGTAACCTTTGCCATACCAAGGAAATCTGAGGAAACACCTTGATCTAATACAAAAACCATTGTTGCAACAGTCTTGTATAATGAAACCAGAATGATCTCCTCAGTGAGGCATGCTTGTGTTTTACCTGTGGAATGGAACATCCTAAAGGAAGATCTCCCTGGATGCATCAGGACCAATTTCTTTTCAAGGGAGTCGAGTAAGGACATGTAGAGATGGATCTCTCCATGAATGGAGCTCAACTAAGGAAGAAATTGAAAGACACATTCCAGGGTAACTCCTTTCAAATGGGTTTTTTACTTATTTTTCTAAT